AACATAAATGAGAACCTTGGAATTTATTATTAGGACATGAATAAGAATGATTAAATTATTGGACACATGCCAACTGACTTTCCTTAATCTATGGCTCCCCACTTAATGAGAATCTATTACTGACTCAATGAAATAATACAGCCAAAGGAAAACAGTTCATTTTTATGCTATTGGATAAGAAAGGAGCAGGACAGGTAAAGGAAGAATGTGTTCTGGATTGGGATTTCTGGAATAACTCATGTTCAGAAAATTCTTCACAGTGAATAAGAATGTATGTACACTAAGCATGTCAAACACCTAGAACCATGATTTATTTTATTTTTTTAATTTGCTAAGTGTAAGAATACGAAGGAGTAGAGAGAGCACTTGTGTATACAGGGAGAGTGATCTACAGTGTAGAACAGTGGAGTAAGAACTACAATTCTGTGTTTTGGAATAAAGACCAAGCTAAGCAAAATTGCAAGATATGATTCCCCAATATTTTCCATTATAAAACCCCAGAGCAAGGAAAAATCAATTCTTCTCTTCTGGCACTTTGAGCCTGTAATTTGAATTGGCTGACTGCAGATGCAAAGTTTCTTAGAACTGTTATGTTTGACTGTAAAAATCACACAAATTTTCCATTCTCTTCTGCAGATTCTGTCAATATAAACAAGCTGTGGTCAATTACCTGCAGCCCAGTGAAATGGCTAATACTGGATGGAGCTGGTGTCAATTTGCCTTCATAATTTCAGGAACCACTTACACAGAGCTACATGCTCTTGTGGTTATCTGTGCCTGCATTTTGAGAAGCACGGATGAGGTCAAATGCATAGGACTTGAAACAGTGTGATCCCTGTAAGATTTTTTTGTTTAGTTTAGGCTCTCAATTTCCTACACGTAGGACCTTGACATAATAAGGCTGCATTGGATCTCTCTTCTTGCATCTCTGAGAGTCACCTACTAGACTAACCCGGGTAAACGATCACTCCCAGTAGTCCTGAAATTAACCCTTTGCAGTCCTCCACCTCCAACCCTCTAATAAGGGTTTTTTTTTTTTTTTTTCCTGAGGGTGCCTGGTGGCTTGGTCTGTTGAGCATCTGCCTGTGGCTCAGGTCACGATCCTGGGGTCCTGGGATCGAGCCCCTGTTGGGCTCCCTGCTCAGCTGGGAGTCTGCTTCTCCCTCTGCCTCTCCCTCTGCTCCTCCCCCAGCTTGTGCTTTTTCTCAAATAAATAAATAAAATCTTAAAAAAAAAGGTTTTTGTTTTTTTTTTCTATGTTGGTGTCATTTTACTAGGTGAGAGTCCCACTTGATATCCAGCCTCAGTAAATAAGTAAAATATGGTCTGTGACCATATTTTAGCCACATTTATCTCCCCTACCATTTAGAATAATGCCCTTTGATACTGTAAACTCAATAACTCTAATAAAAATTTCAAAATATTTTTCTCTCCGTTTTTCCATTTTCTTTTCCATTATTGCTTAAGAATATCTTATCTTAAAAGGTGGTAGTTATGCTAAAAATACACTGAGAAGAATGGGAATATCAGCCTTCTTTTGACTTCAGTGATTTTCTGCACTGTTTCCATCTGCAATTCTTTCCACTTGAATACACATTAAAAGATTGGAAGTGTGGGGGTGGGGGAGGAGGTGGATGGAAATTATTCTCTGAGCACACTTATTATGCCAACAATGCAATTTAATGCATCTTTGATGTTGTGCAATTAGGTATTAAAATTTATCATAACTAGAAATGTTCTCGGTCAGTGGAAATTACTGTAGATAATTTCAGGTAACCTGGGAATAATCTGGTAGCTAGAAGGCCTAGACCAATATATAAAGCATTCAGTTTAGGGGAAAATTGATTTGTTCTTCACATTAATCCTCTGCTTAACTATATTGGGAAATGCAAATTCACATAAAACCTGAGAAAGAAACCAGTAATTCTTTTACATTTTAAAATAAATTTATAGACACAATATGGCAACTAAAAAATTATCCCCAAACTGTATTTTACTGATTTTTTTGGAAAGGGTTAATTATTTTTGTAAAAAATTAAGTTTTATTGTACATTACTGATTTGATTTAGATTCCTACCTCTATTTTCATTATTGCCCTTATTTTTTTAAAGATTTATTTATTCATTAGAGAGAGAGAGCACGAGGGGAGAAGCAGAGGGAGAGGGAGAGAGAGAGAATCTCAAGTAGACTCCCTGTTGAGTATAGAGCCCAACACAGGGGCTCACTCCCAAGACCCAAGATCATGACCTGAATTGAAATCTAGAGTTGGAACTTCAACCAACTGAGGCACCCAGGCGCCCTGCCCTTGTTTTATTTTCTCTGATTTTCTTTCTCTCACACCAGTGGTTCCAAATGGAGACTGAGGCGAAGGCAGGGGTAAACATATTAGTATAGTTGGATAGATTTATCAAATATGTATGGTAATTCCACAAACTCCAAATTCTGATCACATTGTATGTTTTTGGCATGCTTTTGGCCTTCTATATGCTAACAAGAAAATCATAACAGACTAGAAAAGAAGTACAGTAAGCAATGTTAGGAGTAGATAGAGGTGGAATTTCAGGAAACTATATATGATATCTTTCTTGCTTCCTTTTGCACTATAATATTTAGCTATGGTGCAGTAAAAACTTAATTCACTGTTAATTGATAAGCTACAAACAATTCATAAAGTGACAGGAAATTGAGCAACCAACCATAACCTTTGGATTATGGATGCCTTTATTGTAGGCATTCTTTATGCAAGATGTAGCATCAATGGCACTGAATATGGCTGGAGTGAAAATGAAGTCAGATATATGTGGACAGTTCTGAGAATGCTAATCACCAGAAAAAAATGTTTCCTTTATCATCGACATGACCAAAGGTAAAAATATGGGTAATATCTTAAAACACTTTATTTTAAATAGAGATAATACAGGCAACTCAATGAAAATGTGAATTAAGTTTTAGAAAGTTGGTACTTATTCTTTTCTAACTTTAAACATTACCTCAATTTAAATTTAAGTATTTAAGATTATGAAATATAAACTTATTTTTAAAAAATTATTATGGCAAAATTTATAATTATGTATCTCACTGTGATACACATTAAACATAATTTAAAAAACCAGACAAACAAAAGAAAACCACACTGCATATGGGGCTTGCTGATACTCACTTAGCATGGCGAATATCTGGCAAGGACCGCTCTAGAGCAATATTGTTGCTGACAAAAATGTTGAAACCGTTTTCCCTGTAAGCTGAGTCATCATGGTCCTCTTCAGTGAGGGGATAAGGTTTCCCATGCTCACCTTTCCCTAGTAGGAGAAAACAAAATGGGATTATCATCCCTACAAAAACCATTGAATATTTTAGAACAGATAGTAAGAGTTAAATGCGTGTACTTCCTTAGTCACCTGTTACTATGCTCCATGGAAGACCTTTTATTAAAACGTATTATTTTATAGAAAAATAAACATGTTCATGATAAAAAGCCAACAACACCGAAGTAGAAAGTATAATCATCTTCCAGAGAGAACCACTGTGAAGACTTTAAGCGTATGTTTTGTAACATTTATATGCAGCGTGTAATATATGCATTGCCTTATAATTTGACTTTATCCAACTTAGTTGTATAAAAAAGCCATATTTTCATTTACTTCTAATGGTTGATATTATTTCATTGTATCCCAATTTACACCATTCCCCTAAAGAGATACTTTCACATTACTTCTAATTCTCCCTTTTAAAAATAATGTTGAAATAAACATCTTTGTTTATATATTCTTAATTATGTATTTTTGGAAGGGGAAGGATAATTCCTATAAATAGAATCTTGAATATCTGTAGAGTAACTTATGATAGTTTTCACACATCTTCAGAAGCATTAGATAATATTTTGACATTTACCGGTGAAATATGTATTATTCATATTTTAGTTTGCTTTCTCTTGATTACTTATAAAATTAATAACTTCATATACGTTTATCATTTGTATTTCTTACATTGTGAAAGGATTGTTCAGAGTTTTTAAAAAATGTGTTTTTTTATTTTTAAAGATTTTATTTATTCTTTTGAGAGAAAGAGTGAGAAAGAGAGAGAGAAGAGAGCATGAGTAGGGGCAGAGGGAGAGGGAGAAGCAGACTCTCCTTAAGCAGGGAGCCTGACATGGGGCTTGATCCCAGGATCCTGGGATCATGACCTGAGCCGAATGCAGACGCTTAACTGACTGAGCCACCCAGGTGCCCCTTTTATTTGTTTTTTTTTTAAAACAAATTTTATATTATGCTTATTAAAGTTATTTTTTGTATTTT